TGACTACAGAAGCCATAATAATGTCTGACATAATTTTTTTCCTTCTATCGAATTGCGTGAGTACTCGTTCCAACCACGAATGATTGTTGATACGAACAGACCTGCTGCAAAAGAAATTTACAATATATCAAATACAAATGCAAAAATAAATAAATAAATAAATGGCATAACACAGTTATTAAATAAACGAAGAAGAAGACGAACAAAATTTTAAATGAGAAAGAAGAAGAAATTTGGCAAAAAAAAATGATTTTTGGTGGAGTTCTTGTGAGTTTAAATAGAAGAATAAAATTGGTAGGGGTTGAGATCATGGTGTGATAACTTCTACCATGATGAATTAGTGGGGTTTAGTGGGTGGTTAGAGTTGAGAACAAAAATAAATAAAAAATATATAAATAATTAGAATCATACTTACGGTATATTTAAATATAGGAGTTAGTGTTTAAATTATAAATTTATTAATTAACGGTTAAATTAGACATTTATTAAATTACAAAATTAACCCTAGGTTTAGGTCTAGGTTTTAGTTCAAAATATCTTCGTTTTATATATAAGATACGGTTCAATTCTACATACAAAATAAAATGGATACGTTGATTCCTTCCAATAAGAAAAAGAAAATTAACAATGTATGATTAACCAATATGTTAACTAATTGATTATGATAAATTATATTAAATTTGATTTTTTATTTATTTAAAAAATTGATTTTTTTTCCATGGAAAAAAACTGAAAAAGTATGATATTTTATATCCAATTAAATATCTATAAATTAATACAGTCGGGTCCAATCAAATTCTAGTAATTTAGCGAAATATTAATTTAACGATATATTTTTTAACACGTCGTTGTTTCAAGTTGGGACCGAAAAAACATATTATTTAAATGAGGTTATTAATTTATTGATGTTCTACTGTATTTTTCCAATAACACAATTATTTGTGAAATATTATGATTTTTTTTTAAATGAAATATTATGCATTACCACTAAGTAATTTTGTGATAAAAATTTTGAATGTTATAATTTTATGAATAATCATGAAGCCATATAAGTATTACTATATGTTAAAATAATATTAAAAAATATTGATATTCTTCAAGAACAATTTTCCCGACAAAAAAACATTTTCTTGACATTATTATTCCTTAAACAAACAGGGGTTTACCTCCATTGCTCCTCCTCTTTTGTCCCCTTTTTTCTACTCCAATTTCAAATTTCCCCACCATTCAGATCTACTCTTCTTCTTCCTTCTTCACTCCCATCTCTGCTAACTGCGAACTTTTCTCTCTCATCCGACTTTGATTAGAGTGTACTCTCTCTCACTCTCTCTGCGTTTGTTCGTGTTCTTCTTTCACAGAGATTATCAACTAATCCGGGTACTCTAAATATGAGGTAAGAGAAAACCCATACTAAAAAAATAATCAAGTGGGTCGATTCGTTTTTTTCTCTTTTGTAAATTCTACAATGTCAGAAGCAAAATTAATTTGCAAGAATTGTTTTTTATTTTTTTTATTTTTTGTTGGAAAGTGAATATGCGTTTGCGAATCTGGAGAACTTGGACCACTGCGCCAAGTATTTGAACAACACCCTCGTCACATTCGGCTTCCCTGCTTCTCTCGATCTCTTTGCTAATGATCCCGTGAGTTTCATTTTTTTTTTCTTTAATTTTTTTTTTGGGTGGGGAAGATTTTTTCTTACATGTTTATGACAATGTGTTTGATGTTAACTAGGTTTCGGTAGCTAGGACTTGCAATTGTATATACGCATTGTTGCAGCAGAGACAAAGGGATGTTGAGTTCAGAGAGTCAGCCAATGAGCAGAGGCAAATGTATGCTTCTCTCTCTCTCTCTCTCTCTCTCTCTCTCTCTCTCTCTCTCTCTCTCTCTCTCTCTCTCTCTCTCTCGATATGTATATATTGGTTCGTATTTTTAAGAGTTTTTAAGATACGGTGTAGTGTTTGTTCTGTTATGTAGTTTTCGTTTGCTGATGAAATAATGGAAAGTATAGGACATGAAATCAAGAATTTAGAATTTATTTTGATACCCTTTACTTAGATGATTCGATTTAGAATTTGGAGTTCTCGAGTCGTGTTGAGAAGATGCTTACGTGTTTTTTTGTATTGCCGTTACAAAAGACTGTTATCAGACATTTCGAGATTGGAAGCCAAAGTCGAGAGGCTAGAAGCACAGTTAACCGGAAAAGACCGAGAAATAGCTACAATTACTCGAACGGTATTATAAATAGAAATTAGAAATTATCAGTTAATTAACCTTTCGTATTTTGTCTGATTTCTCGAGGAATTCAATTCATGCAATTAATAGGAAGCTAAAGCTACGGCGGCATTCAAATCCCAGATCGATAAGTTGCATCAGGAGCGAGACGAGTTTCAGAAGATGGTTTTGGGTAATCAGGTTGAGTACAACAACTTTTTATTTATTTATTTATAGTCGTTTTAGGGTTTAGGGTTTAGTTCTGACGTCGTGTATTTGATAAACAGCAAGTGAGAACTCAACAGATTCACGAGATGAAGAAGAAAGAAAAGGACTATATAAAGTTGCAGGTTCGATTTCTTTTCTTTTTTTTTTCTTCTTCTGCCGTTTGTGCATGCGTAATTTAATTAGCTTTCTCAAAATGAAATAAATAAATCATAATTAGGGTTTTTCTTAACTTGCGATTTCACGCAGGAGCGGCTTAATCAAGTGCTAATGGAGAGAAAGAAGGAATCTAAATCGGGAATGGAAATTATGAATTTACTACAGGTAAAAAAGAGTTTCTTTTCTAGTGTCTTTTATTACAGTACAGTTTCTTGTTCTTACACCTCTCTATTTTTGACCAATAGAAAGAAGGCCGCCAGCGTGGAACTTGGAACGGAAAAAAAACTGATAACGACTTTTATAAAAAGATCGTAAGTGATGCGACAGATTCTTCTATTTCGGGCTCTTTTTTTTTTGGGAAGTTTCTCTAAGCACTCGAAGCTTGTCGAATAACGTAGGTGGACACTTATGAAGTGAAAAATCAAGAATTGGTGGCTGAGAATGCTAATTTGAGGGCATTACTACGTTCGATGCAGGTACCTTTCTAATAGTGTGAGAGTTGTTTATATATACAATTATATATAATGATTTAATTTAATAAATTGCAATATTCTGAATGGTGAATTTATATCTCGTTCTGATATATATTTTCCGTTTAATTATAGAATTCACGGGTGGCATATTTACTTTGTTAAAATAAATCTGCGATTTTTTGTTTCGCTTTTTTATTTTCTGTAAACATGTATTTCTTAAGCATTTTATATATTTTTTTTTGCAGGTTGATATGCGTGAATTCCTTAATGCTCCAAATACGAAGCAGTCTTCTCCAGCCAATGGCAAGTCAGATGCTGACCAATCGCAGTCTCCGTTGGGTGGGAGAACTGTACGTAAAATCTTTATATATATATATATATATATATATATATATATATATATATATATATATATATATATATATGAGTATTTGTTTAGAATACGAAATTTCCAAATGTTAGAAGAAATGTTTTTTTTACTTTTGTAATTTTGCAGGACATGTTTGATCTGCCTCTTCGCATGGGTAGGGATCAAATCGAAGAAAGTCTTCGAACAAAGATGACTTCGATTAAGGTAGAATTGATCTAGATCTATTCTTGATCTATGTGCCTGAGACCAAATTAATGTAATTTTCTTAACAAGTGATAAAAATAATATAATTTTTTTTTTTTGAATATTTTGTTATTTGAACAATGAAGGAGCGCATGGTTCATCTTCAAGACGCGCAAAAGGATGCGGAAGTTACTTCTGAGGTTACGGAGAGAGAACTTGAGCTCGAAGCTCAGCTTGTCGAAGCAAGAAGCATTATTCAAGAGCAGGTATTGTACTCTCTCTCTCGATTTATTTTTCATGTGTAACATATTTTGACTAAGAAACGACGTCTTTTAATGCAGGCATCTATAATGTCTAAAAATATTGCCAATTCTGAGAGGCCAAGGTACGTTTTCTTGAAAATTGACGAATTAAAAAAAATTAACAAAAAAAAAAAAAAAAAAATAACTGAAGAACGAAAATGTGTGCAGGAGATTAAGTGGCCATCTGAGTTCCGACAGGGACTAGAATCATCACCACTGTAATAGGTACTGTTTATTCCCCGCCAAAAAAAAAAAAAAAAAAAGAAGGTTCCACGACTACTGAGTAAAAGTCCAAAATACCCCTAAGTTATGTTTGTGACAGATACTTATAATTAATATTAACTTAGAGGATATTCTTCTTGCTTGTCGTATAGGGGCTTTCGATAATCGTACGGACCACCATTTCTCGCCGGAGATGTATCTTTATTTCGTTAGTGTTGTGTATATGTAATTGCTTGTGCTTAACTTATGGCAAGCTTTTTTAGACATAGGTTTAGTAGAAGAGATTTTTGTCTTTAAATTATTTATCTAATTCAGTTTATGTATTTTTATGTACCATAACTTATGGTCATGCTATATTATTGTACTCCCAAGTTTTATCTGTCTTCTGTTTCATTGTGTAGTTGTCTTTGTTTCAGTACAAGTTGTTGATAAGATTAATCATGATTAATTGAATAATTGAAATTTATTCCATATTTGGTACAATTAGTTCAATCAATTGTCAAGTTGGCTGGCAATTTTGGATCTTTATTCTTTAGTCACATTTTCATAAAATTTAATTTTTCTGGTTAATCAAGACCTTAGTGTATATTATAAAAAAATAATTTGGGGTTAATTGCATTTTGCACCCTGGAAATAACATAAATTGGTGACTTGTATCATGAAATTCTAAAGTTGGCAAAGTGCATCCTCAAATTAATTATCTCTTGGCAATTTTCACCCCATGTCTATTTTTTGCAAGATTTGAATCAAGAAGTCAATATATCATGATATCTTGAATAAATTTTGAAGGGCAAATTAGTCTTGAAAACAAAGTAAAATAATCCCTGACAATTTTTTCGTTATTCTCGTATTTTTTGTAAGTTTCACGCGACTCCTATATCTTTTTTTCTATGAAGTTAGGGTTTCTTCTTTTCTTCCAATTTTGAAAAAAAAAATAGAAAACGAAAAGGAGAAAGCTCTAATGAATTAGTGATTGAGAGAAAAAAAGAATATTCAAGTATAATTGGATCCATGCAACCTTTATTCAAAGAGTGCAAGTTGCTAAAAGATAAATAGTTTGAGGGTGAACTTTACCAAATTTAGAATTTCGGGGTGCAAATCACAAATCTATGTTATTTCCAAGGTGCAAGACGCAATTCACCCAATCTTTAACTAGTGTGTGTTTGACCAACAATCAAGGGAAGGGAACACGTAAGCATTCTATGTAACTGTAAAAGTCAACCCCTATATCATCATCACTTAAATACTTAAATCACAAATTAAAGCTAATGTGCACAAATTCGTTGAACAATCTCAATGGCGTGAAAATTTGAAGTCAACCATCTTGATTAGCTAATAAGAGAAAGAGAAACTAATAAAAGAAACCACTATTTAATTAATTAATTAATTAATTGCATTATTTATTAACTAATTATTCGGTGTTTGACCGACAATTCTTTGCCCAATTGGCCAAGACTACCCAACTTTTTTGTTGAAATTTTGAGAGCTATTGTTGGGGTGGTAATACTATTTATTGAACCCTATTTGTGGAAAAAAAAAATTAAAAAGAAAACTAGTGGAAATGTTTTCTTTTATTTTATAATAGTATTTATATTTTATAAAATTAGAGTGTCTGGATTAATTGATGTTTATATTACATATATACCAATTAATGCACCATTTGTACTAATTAATTACATTAATAATTTATAAATATGAATATGTGATATAATATAAAATAAAACTTGGAAACAAAGAGTATGCATGTGAATTTTTTGAATGATTGTGACTTAAGGACTAGGTAAAATTAAAAATACTAAAGTAACCTTCAAAGCTAAGTTGGTCTCTTTGCTTGTCCATGACAAAACAACTATATCACTCTATATATATATATATATATATATATATATATATATATATATATATATATATATATATATATATGTAACCCAAAAAAAATAATTAAAGTTAAAAAAAATCATTAATCACAGCCTAATTATCAGCCACCTCCCAAACCCCACAATCATGTGCCCTAATTCTCATTTTTCGCCTTTGAATCAGGAAAATAAAAACCACTTTTCCTTACTTATTATATATATATATATATATATATATATATATATATATATATATATATATATATATATATATATACATACATACATACATACATACATACATACATACATACATACACACATATAAATATACATGCAGACACATTTTCATCGATCAATATTTGTATTAAGTCTATATATATTTTTCCTTCCACATATATTATACATATACTTGTAAGAATCATAGGTTTCATCAAAATAATTAAACACCTAACTTTTGTTAAGAAAACAATGGAGTTGATCAATATTAATAATCAAGAAATTACCGATGATCGAAACCCTATTTCGGTGCTCGAAGGCGACGAATTTTGCATCGGCAGAATTCTCGCAAGAGAATCTTCGGTCGGCCAATCGTCGCGCGTGTTCTATCGCACTTCGGAAGGTGTTCCTTTCAAATGGGAAATGCAGCCAGGCACTCCAAAGAATATTATTTCACATCAGCAAGAAGAAGTAGACGACGACGACGACAACATATTACCAATTTGCCCTTCTCCGTTGATGCAGAGCTTGCGCCTCCCTCTCCCTAATGTGACGTTTCATCACGATCACGAAACCAAAGAATATTCCGCCTTGAAAAAGTCGAAAATTTGGAGTTTGAGAAAAATAGGCAAGAAAGTGGAGACACTGATTGGAAGTAGTAGTAGTAGTAATAATAATAATAATAATAAACCTCCACTAGAGAGCTCGAGATTCGGAGAATATTCTTCGAGCTTTTGTTCAGATTCTTCTTCCTCCTCTTCTCCTTCTTCGTCTTTTTCGTCGAATAGTCGTGTGGTGGATACTTCTGCGGTTGATGATGGCCCGTTTTGTTGCGGCCCGTTGAATGTCGTACTGGTTCGTGTTGTGAGACGAGTTTAGTTTGTTGATTTTATTGCATTTAGTACCCCTGTGTTATTTCAAATTACTAAAAAGTCCCCGCATTATTAATAGCAATTAGAGAAAATACAGGGGTGCTGAATGCAATAAATCCTTAGTTTTATGCATTTTATTTGAATTATTTTCTTCTTTTGGAACACTATAATGATATCTATATATATTGAATAATATGTATGAAATTATATATGTAGGTATTTAGACGATTATATACATGAATATCTAAAATTGTAATAAAACAAGTGAGTTTATGTACTCAATTCTTGATTAGAAAGTGCATGTGTTCAAATGAATTATGAATATTCATTTTCTAATTTAATTTGTTATAAATATATATTAGATTAAAATGTTTTTTTTTTTCAGGATGAAGGAAAGAAAGGGGTATATTATTGCAGCAAACACAAGAAAGCATTTGCTATAGAAGATAACGAATTAATTACTCCGGCGGCGGCCGGAGTTCCATTCCGATGGGAAGTGCAGCCCGGAACACCGAAAACCCTGCCGGAAAATGACATCATCCCGCCTCCCAGCCCTCCACCGGCGGTGCAAAGAGAGGAGGCTGAGGAGCACTCCACGTGGGCATCTAGGGTGGCTTGTTTTACTATACGGCGAAAGAACAAAGAGAAGGCAAAAACAGGGGAGTTATTTGAATTTGATGCTTCTTTTCGAGAATCGAGTTCCGTTTCTTCTCGTTTTTCGAAAGTGGATTTGAGAGTGTCGAAAATTCGAAGGAATTTTGAGGGTGGTTGTTTTAGCTGCGGTGGCCATTGGAGGAGAAAAGACATTGTTGTTTTTGCTAGGATGAAATTAAATTCATACATTTCTTAGTTTTTTTTTTTTTTTGGGGTGGGGGGCTCAAACAATTTAAATATTAAATAACGGTTCTTTATGCATGTAATATTGTAATTTATTGTTCTATCTCGATTACTTATTTAAATTGTGTTTCAATACTTCTTTTTTCTTTTTTATTATGAGTTGTGGAAATGACACTCTGATGTTTATGTATTTTATTAAAGGATAAATTACGGTCCACATTATTTTTCGTAATTAAGGTAAAATTATGAAAAAAACATTTCAATGTTTTGGTATATACAACCACTTCCTCAACTATGAATCTTCTTACACGTTCATCTTTGTAGTGTTAAATTTAGTGGAATATTCTCCTATTTATACTCATTGTACCCTATTGGAGCTCCATATTTCGATACAAGATGATCATTAGATGTGTCTTTTGGCTTGTATATATCAGATTGTGGTGCATAAAAAACTGCATTATTGCACAAAACAAGTACAAACTAGAGATCAGTCCACGAAATCTAGAAAATTACGTTGAATTTAACATAAATGTATACGTGTAAAAAGATTTATAGTTTATGGGGTGATTCTATTTGTTCAAACAAGAGAGATTTTTTATGTAATAGAAGCATACCTAATTTACGCTTTATTAAAAGATGATGAAACACTACTTTTAAGTTTTAAGTCAAATAGCAATTTAGCCTAATGATTAGGTTTTGGCCCTTCTATAAATTGTATGCTAAAGTGCTATTTGACTAAATTATTTACACACTAAATTGAAATTCTGTTGTATATAATTCTAGACCGAAATAATGGAACGGACCACAGCTTACTTAATTTGAGGTACTAATTAAAAAAAAAATTACACAAATTATGTTTGAATATAGAGTAATTGATTATTTAGCAATTAAATTAATTGCTAATTAAAAAAATTGCAGCAACCGTCCTATTATTGATAATACCGTCAATATAATATATATAAGGGAAAATGAGGGATAACCCCCTCATTAGGTAAAATAATAGAGTGTAAGCCCAATTTATAATTGACACTTTGTAAACAAACCCATATAATATTTTCTGAATTGTGTGACCCCCCTAGTCTTATGCTAATGCCCATTATGCCCTTTTGTCCATATTTTTCTCCTTTCTCTCTCTTCTCATTATTTCTCTCCGTCATTTTATATCCTCCAATCATTTCTCTCTCTTCCTTTTTTTCCTCATTTTGACTTGTTTTTTGTTTTATTTTTCTTCTCCCTATCTCCTCTCTCCTCTCTCCTCTCTCTCTTCTGCCATTTTCTCTCTTCTCGTCACTTTCTGATTCTTTTTTTTTTGTCTCTGTATTTTTCTCCATTTCTTCCCACTACTTTGCCTTTTCTTCTATATCTCATTTTTTGACCGTTGAAATCAATCTATTTTCTACACTATAAAATGTCGTGTTTTTCACCGGAGATGAGATTTATTATCGTCAATATTCCATTTTACAACACCATAGTTTCTTCAATCGAATAATAATATAGTGAATTAAAGAAAAAAATATAGTTAACTACCAATTTTTTATAGTTGACATCGGAAAACTTATACTTGACTATCTAATTTATAGTTGACTATGGCAGCAATATTGTTAGCTACCCATTTTTTTATAGTTGACTACAATTTTTTATAGTTGACATCGGAAAAATTATAGTTGACTTCGGAACAATATAGTGAACTACCTGTAATTTATAGTTGACTCTGAGTGTAGATGACTACAATTTTTTATTCTTTTTGCCATATGATTCCTTCTTTGTTGTGGACTCTGATAAAATAAATTTCGTGGGAAACAAAATTTACTAGTCATCAAATAATGCGACCATGGATTTGTAGATCTAAAAAACAAGATTGTTTAAAACTCTATTCTTGAGTAATTAACCAGCCAGTATTCTGAACCGTCACATATGGTCGCCGCAAACCACCGGTCTTTAACGTCCCTGCACACAACCGCTCACCGTCGTGCTGCACATAACCGCCTTCCGCCGCCAACGTTGTGAACCGCATCTCATCTCCGCTAGTGCACACCGCTGGCCCTTCACCTTTGCCGAACATAGTAAACTGTTTTCGTTGAGAAGATGGAAGAGAAAAGTTGGAGAGAGGGGAGATGGAGAAAAAGAGAAGAAGATGGAGAGAGCGTGTTTTTCTGAAGATTTGTTCAGGAGAAATTTTTGGAATATCTTCAGCGTAATTACAGTGGTTTAGGAAGATAGTTATCTTCTATGAATGTATCTGTTTTCTCGTAAGATTGGGGGGTCTTTTTCTAACACAAAATATGAGGGTACACATGGTAAATCACTCATTGAAGGGGTTTGCCTTATTAAAATTAAATGGGGTGGTTAGTCCTAATATTTTTCTTACTGAGGGGGTTATATCTCATTAACCCTATATATAATACTGCTAAAAGTACATAATAATGATATAAATCATACAATATAAAAAACAATTATAATAAATACATACAAACAGATAAGTGAGAGAATTAAGAGAGAATCCGAAACTGTTAGAAAATGACCGCTTCCGACAACACAGAGTCCTCCTACCCACCACTCTTCCGCCCAAACCACGGCGGCGCTGAAACCGGCGAACACCACCACACCCCAAAGTCAGCCCGGCCCGAACCCGATCCATATCCAGATTCGGATTCTCTTCCGGTGATAGATTTCCGGGACACGAGCCCCTCAGACCTGGGCAGAGTATGCAGGGAGTGGGGCGTTTTCCGGCTGGTCAACCATGGTATTCCGGCGGCGCTTTTGAGCGGCCTCCATGAATACGCCGACAAGGTTTTCTCGCTCAGTTTCGAGACGAAGCGGGCTTTTCCGACGAGCCCGATGCTCTACTTCTGGGGTAGCCCGGCCCTTAGTATGTCGGCGAATGCTCATCAACAAACTGTCGGCGGCGGCGGCGGCGGCGGCGGCGCTAACTGTGTGCAAAACAACATCAACTGGTTGGAAGGTTTTAATGTTCCGTTGAACAAAACGACGTCGGATTTTCAGATGTCTGATTCTGAAGAAGCACTTCTTCAATCTTTCAGGTTAGCTCTCTCTCATTCTACATTTCTACTGTTCTTTTATTTATATATAGTACTCATTATTATTATTATTCTTTTTTCTACTACTATTAATATTATTATTATGATTGTATATGGCAAATTACGGCCACCCTTGTAAGGTCAAATTACGAAAAACTCCTCTTATGTAGGTAATTACAGTCACCCCTCCTTTTAAATATTTTCAATTAAATTGAAGTAATTCGGTTATTTATCGAACCAAATCGTATATTCAGTTCGGTAAATAGTATGAAATAGTTGCGTACTAACACTTCAATTCGGCTTTTACTGAAATAACATTCTTAAATTTACCTTTAAAAATGTATTTTTGTAAGAAAATATATAGTCGAGGGGACTGTAATTACTCAAATATGACGGGTCTTTTCGTAATTTAACCTTAATTGAGGGGTGACTGTAATTTGCAATTATTATTATTATGTATAATCTATAACTCATACTCTATACTAATGAACACGAAACTCTTCTCCTTTAGACAAATAGAGGTATTATTGATATTATGAATTCTATATAAAAATAATAAAATTAAAAATAAAAAAATTTAACACATCCCAATCATATTCTTAATTGATTTGAAATATATGTTCATGCATCTCTCAAGCCCTAGTGAAGGATTTCTAGGTGGGTAGGGGTCCATTTTTAACTAATCGACACGTTTGTCCTTTTTAATTTCTTTGCCTTTTTTCAATTTATTTATTGTTTTCACTTGTGAGTTATGACCATTTTTTGTGACAATTATTTTATTTTATTTTTTTAAATTAGGTCTTTATTAGAAGAATATGGTGCCCACCAAACAAGGCTTGCAAAATCACTATTCAAAACCATGGCCGAGGACTTAAATTTCCCACCAAACAAATCAAAATCTTATCTATCGCCGCCCACCGGATTCTTACGTGTCTACCGCTACCTCCGCTGCCACATGGCGGAGCAGCGGTGGGGGATTAATTCCCACACCGATAGCTCCGTTATTTCAATAATACATCAAGATCAAATTGGAGGCCTCCAAATTTTCAACAATAATAAATGGCTCGATGTGAAACCTATTCGCGACTCTTTGATCGTCAATCTTGGAGATATGATGCAGGTTTTTGCTCTAACCTAATTTTATGAGTGTACTGGGAAAGTGTAGTTACGAAAAACCCCCTTCTTTTTTAAATTACTATTTACATCCAGTCCCTTGCAGTTTGTAAATTCCGTACGTCCACCCCTATAGAAGGGTGTTAATTTAAAATATCTACAAATTGTGGGGAGTGGATGTAATTATAGAAAAATGAGTGATTTTTTTTTTTGGTAAATAGATCCTACCTTAGAAGGTTGGTTTAATTTACCCTTCTTAATCATGAGTTGTGAAATTAAAAATTGGAAATAAATGTGAGTAAAATGTTATTTTTATAGGCGATGAGCGACGACATCTATACAAGTGTGACACACAGAGTGAAGGTGCATGTGGAGAAAGAGAGAATATCGATAGGGTATTTCGTGTTTCCGGATGAGGATGCAGTGATAGAAAGTTCGAATTACGAGCCGTTTAGTTATGCTGATTTTCAAGCAAAGAAGGAAATTGATTTGAAGACCATCGGAATCAAGATCGGTCTTCCCAGGTTCAGAATAGACCGACCGGTTTAATATTTTAACGGGTTGTGTTTACTGTACTATTGTTCTTGAACAATGCAACATTGTGAAACTGGAAAATAAAATTGGTGGATTAGAAATGTGAATTTTGCTGCGAAAGAGCAAAAAATTTCAAGTCATTTGATCATTTTGCAGTCAATCGAATATTTGTAAAATAATATATATATATATATATATATATATATATATATATATATATATATATATATATATATATATATATATATATATATGTGAAGATACCTGCAACGCCGGGAGGGGGTCCCGGCGGGAAAGCTTTGACGATCAAGTCAGTATTATATTTAGGTAGTATATTCGTGAAAGTATGTGTAAAAACCATGTGTGTAAATAAATAATGCCTCCCCCTATTTATAGATGATGAAACCTTGGTCTACAAGGTTTCCTTTTTTAGGGTTTTCACCTTCTCTCAAGTCACGTAGCTTGGGCCTTTATTACTGTGGGCCTGTTTTACCTCGTTTTTGTGCTGGGCTGCGAGCTATGATATTTTTACGTCGTCACTGAGGTGTCGTGGTTCGATACCCTTTCTCATAATAGCGAATTGGATCTTTCCGGTTCATATTTATTTGTTTCAGTCAGAATGGCCCGTATCAACTACTCCCCCCTACTCCTTAATTATAAGACGAGTTTGCTTCTTCTTGCCTCGTTTTATAAGTATGGAGTATGAGGTGCGAAGTAAGAGTTCGGTTTTGAATTTACTTTTGGTGGGGGCGCGTGCCCTCCGCCCCCTCTTTTTTTTTCTATTTATTGTCCTGACAATCAATGTGGTCGATTCGAGTTCCCTAGGTCATCATTAGCAAATTCCAATCGATGCTTTTGCATCAAGTTCGAGACAATCCACTTTCGATCCTGCCCGTCTAAACAAGCGGTTAAGATTTGATTCCCCCCTATTTTCTTCTCCTATAAATATCCAGCCTCTACCAATTTGTAATTTTTTTTCCTTTTTCACCTCCGTGCTTTCTCTCTTATTATTTTTCCTTCCGGCGATTTTGCTTTCCGAAACAGAGTCCTTACCCTTCGTGTCCACTCTCTCTCTCGACAAAGGTACTGTTCTTCTTTCTTGTCTTTTATTACCTTTGTCTTGTTCTTCCAATCGTCTATGTCTTCCCATTCTCCCGATCCTTTTGGCCAAAAAATGCCTTCCCGCCGCTGTTCCGGGGAGGGGGATGAATATCCTACCCTTACTATCTCTTCCTCTTCGGAAGAGGGACCCTTCTTTTCCCCTTCGGGCAAGCTTCTGAAAAAATCTAAGAAGAGAGGTAGGGATGATTCTTTGTCTTCCGCGAGGAGTGGTTCTCCTTCGTTGTCTGGGGGGCGGGATTTGGATGATCAATGGGGGCCTAGTACTTTAAGTGAGATAGATTTGATTAACTTAGCTCGCGACATAGGTCTCCCTACTGATGTCGAACTAATTTTGCCCTCCCGAGATGAGCGTCCGTTAAATCCTCCCCTAGGTTTTAGCACCTGGTTTTCGGAACAATTCTACTTCGGTCTTTCTTTCCCTATCTTGCCTTGTTTCTTCGAGATTGCTCAATTATGTAACGTGTCCCTGAACCAATTTCATCCTCATGCTATAATCATTATGACCGGGTTTCGCATGCTCTGTGCCTGGTCGGGGGTGATTCCTACCCCAGCTCGATTTCGGAGTGTTCTGGTATTGAAAAACTCCAGTCCCTTTCATATCTCTATCTCGGCTCGCCCGGGTTTCAAGATACTAATGCCGCCCAATAAGACTGATGGGTGGCAAGGTCATTATTTTTTCGCGAGAAATCCCATTGACACCCCCTATCTGTGTCCCTGGCTCGCCACTTTACCCGAAAAGACGAGGGGTAAACCCTTGGCGATCGATGACTGGCTGTTGAAAATGATAGCTCATTTTCAACCGAGCTATGGTATCCCTGATAGCCTCACCACCTTTCCACCGATGCTTCGCCACTTCTACTTTCATGACAATGGCACCCATCCTTTAACTCGAGAGGATTTAGGTGGGTCTAGACATGACACCGATTTTTGTTTTGATTCGTTGTTTTATCTCGGACGGTTGTTCTTCATCTTGTTAACTTTATACTTGTTATTTCTTCTCATTTACTCATTATATTTTCCTTAATTCCGTGGGCAGATTTAAGGATGAAGAGAATGTTCCGAGGTGACAAGCCGGCCACTCGTCCCTCCGAGCCGGAGCCTGGGTTCCAGGCGTTTGAGTTCCAACGCCCTTTAACCACCGAATCCGAGAAACGACCCCTAGACGAGGGGGCCTCCAGGCCGAAACCCGCGAAGAAGAGCGTCGGCCCTATACGTCCACGAGGTGGGCCACGCGTTGAAGATCCTGAGCTACCTCGCCGCTCATCAGCTTTAGTTGTGGCATCCCCGCAGTTGCCTTCTGCGACCGAATAGGGCGTAGAAAAAGAGCCTATCTCGAAGAAAAGGAGGGCTGACCTAGCCTTGGGGCCGATTGGGTCACACCCGCTTCCGGACTTCGCACTCCATCTCTGTCAAAATGCGGAGAACGCCATTGCAGCTTGCCGGGCTGTGGCGTTCCCACGAGATGTCGTTCATTACGGGCAAATGAGTAAAGGCGATCGTCTTGAGTTGCTCTTGCATAATATCACGCAGGTTAGTTACGACTATATTGTGTATGTGCGAAGTAAGATACATCTTTGTGTTTTCTGTTCAGAGCTAAGTTGACTTGGTTTTCTTATTCATTTAGCAATTCGCCATTGCTTTCTCGGGCTCTCTAGGATGGGACGATGTTTCGCGCGAAGCGTATGACAACCAAAGGAAGGAGTTCACCCAACTTCGGAAGGAAGTCCGGGTTCTCAAGGAGAGTCTGGCGGTGGCTGAGTCGGCGAAGGAGGGGCTGTTCGCCGAGGTGAGGAGACTGCAAGAGGAGGGGAAGGTTTTGCAGGCGGAAAAGGACTCGCTAGCATCCCACAATGCCAGCTCGGAGGAAAAAGCGAAAGGACTTTCGAACGAACTATTTGCAGCCGGAGTGCAGGCGTCCTCCAATTTTACCGAATGAGTAAAAGAGGGGCAGAGGCTGTTTCCGGGGTCGCCCGAAGGTCTTCGTTTTATAGAAGAGTTCGTTCGTCGCTTATTCCACCGATTGTGGCGTTCGACAACCTTCACCCGAGAGGCTTCAGGCCTAGCTCGTTTTGCCTTCTCGGCGGCGATAACGGTTGTTCGAAAGCGGTTAAGCGGTGCCGGCATCGAGTTCCCATTGGTCGAGAACGAGCTTGCCGAAGATCTTCCGGATGACGAGATTCCGGGTTTCGAGGGGGATGTCAATGAGGATCGTAACTTGGAATGGTGGAGGCAGGTTCATCAAGGACTTGTTGAAGACTTCTCTCGCCAGGGGGCCTCATCGGTGGTTATTACCGATTTTGTCGGGGATATAGAGACCGTCGAGGTGGTAACTGGCCCTAACGAAGCACAGCCGAACCCCATCTCGTCTCCTCTTCCGTCCACTGGGGATCACAGTGAGGCAAGGGTGGAGGCCTCCGAAGTGATGACTGAAAACACTTAGTCAATTTGTTTGTTTTTATTCTGACTATGTATTTTTTGAACAATGTACTTATTTTCCCTTTTTCATCATGTGTATTGAACAATCTTCTTTGCTTTTCATATTTCGGTATGTCAGGAACTTGCTTGTTTAAGATTTGCCTCTCATGCTCACTTGGGCTTCTTATATTCTGGTGTTGTGTATGCAAGAATAAGTTTTAGATTCAGCAACTTGTTTTTGAATTCGAGTTGAACCAACGACTCTTTTCAATTCGCATCGGCGATCATCCCCTGAATTCATCAACTTAGGACTCAACTTGATTTTGACAAGCCACTTTCGCTTATTACAACATCCTATTTTCATTTTAGCTTAACACCTGATTTGCGCGCGATTTAACATCTTACTTACATGCGCGACTTAACGCCTTGTTTTAATACGCGATTTAACGCCTCGTTTTGGTACGCGATTTAACGCCTCGTTTTAGTACGCTATTTAACGCCTCGTTTTGGTACGCGATTTAACGCCTCGTTTTAATACGCGATTTAACGCCTCGTTTTGGTACGCGATTTAACGCCTCGTTTTAATACGCGATTTAACGCCTCGTTTTAATACGCGATTTAACGCCTCGTTTTGGTACGCGATTTAACGCCTCGTTTTAATACGCGATTTAACGCCTCGTTTTGGTACGCGATTTAACGCATCGTTTTAATACGCGATTTAACGCCTCTTTTGTAGCTCAAATAAATGACACAAGGATTTTTTTAACGTGGAAATCCTCCAAATAAGGAGAGAAAAAACCACGGGGCCTAGTCCAGCTCGGAAAATGAATGTTTATTGATGGCTTTTGTCTTTACAGAATGTGTCACTTTTTTTTTTTTTTTTTTTTTTTTATGCGAAGAAGCGCTTCAAGTGGATTACGGTCCATGCTCGTGGCAGCGGTTTTCCCTCTATGTCCGCTAGTTCATATCCACCGCCAGCCAAACATTTTGTGACCACGTATGGTCCTTCCCAGTTAGCCTCCAATTTCCCTGTGTGCTTTAGGGCGTCAGCTCGTCGTAGAACTAGATCACCGATCTGGAACGAGCGAGACGGGACCCCTTGATCATATCGGGCCTTGATCAGGTTCTTGCTTCGTTCCATGTGTAAATATGCTGCTTCTCGTAAATCAAAGATCTCATCCAACTGTGTTCTCAGTGCTCCATCATTCGTCTTTTCATCAAATGTGGTTATGCGGAGTGTGTCCATTGCCATAAGGGCGAGCGGTTCTCTTATGCGTTTGGCGACTTATACTTATATTTTTACAATTTATAAATGTATCCCTATATTTTTATAATTTATAAATATACCGCTATATTTTCTATTTTTACTCGTATCCCCGCGTATCCGTATCCGCGTATGGACGTGTCCGCATATCCGTGTCCGTGCATCATATATAATAACATTATTATTATTATTATTATTATTATTATTATTATTATTATTATTATTATTATTATTATTATTATTATTATTATTATTATTATTATTATTAAAAAAGGGGACAATTTAAAGGGTAAAAGTGGGGTTACGGAGTGGGAGGGAAGGAACTACTAGAAATGGCGGGAAAAAACTTGAAAATAGCGCGAAACCCTAAACTGCACCGATTAAAATACCACTTCCCCTAAAAAAAAAAGGAAGAATTATTCACTTTTTCGTACACGCAATCGTCTCCAAGAGCAGCAAAATGATGTTCGAGAGCAGCCAATTTGATTCTCAGGCGGGGAGCGGCGGCGGCTTCTTCTCTTCTCAAAACGCCGATTCTTCCCGCACATCTGCTAAGGTAAAATCCCTCACCGTAAGTAGTTGGCAGTTAATAATCAGATAAAATTAAAAAAAGAAGGGAAAAATCCATATCTATGAAACTAATTAAATTCTTGAAAAAAAATTATGAATAGAGTCGAGATAATCAACCGATGTGTCCTGTTACGGTGAAGCAAATAGTCGAAGCGAGTTCCGCCGACGACAAGTCGAATTTCCTCATCGACGGAATTGATGTGTACAATGTGCGTTTCCCTCAATTATTTTTAAAATTAATTCATTTTATTTAATTTCCCCCTTTTAATTGTTCGTATCGGTTATTTGCGTATGGAGTTCAACAATTTGTATTGCTATTTACTATTTCTATGATTATTTATTTCGGTAGGTAAAATTGGTTGGAATGGTATTCGAAAAATCAGCTAGAAATACTGATGCCTCGTTTGTCATCGACGATGGCACAGGGCGTATTGCTTGCCACAGATGGTGAGTTTCCCGTTTTAAATTCGTGGTCGGTGATTTCTTAAATATTTATTTATATATGTCTCTAAATAAACCTGGATACAGAATCGTAACTATGATTTCTGTTGTACAATTGTTGTTACCTTTCGTTTTGGTTTCGTGTTGCGATAATATGGATAAATGTTGTTCTTTTGGCAGGATAAATGATCCACAAGACACGGAGGAAGTGGAAGAATTAATGTAATAATTCTATCTTAGTCGCATTAGTACATTTCTGTAACGATCGAGATTCGATTTAGTTTTTGCTAAACAAGATTCTCCTGTTTAAAACAGGGACGGTATGTATGTACGTGTTCACGGGCATTTGAAGACTTTTCAGGCGAAAAAACAAGTAGTCGTTTTCGCAATCAGGTAATGGCTCTTGTCGACTGTCGTTGTAAGATGTTAATTATTTATTACATTTAAGATTTACCGTACGTTTAAGATTTTTCCGTTGTCTTATTAATATCAATTGCATAGAATAACTAGTATGTCGATTTTTGCATTTATACTCCGTTGCAAACGGGGAGGTCGTATATATATATATATATATATATATATATATATATACATACTAGGTTACAGTTTGCATCTTTAGTCATGTTGAAGACAATAATCAAGAACTAGAATAAGAATTGAAGTTGCAATAAGACGATGTCGAAATAAATAAATAAAAAACTGTTTTTTATTGATGTTATATTCAGGCCCGTGAACGATTACAACGAGATCGCAACACACTTTCTCGAATGTATACATGCGCACTGCTGCAACAATAAATCACAGGTATCCATAAACTCAAATTTCCCGCTATTTATCCCGTATTATTAACGAAGATAACTATTTAGATTCGTAATTTTTTTGGGTTGCAAAAAACAGAACAATGGTTCTTCTGCTCCCGCAGCTTCGACAGCAGTTGCGACTCAAAGTGGACATCAAACCGTCCCTTCAACTCAAGTTAGTTTACGTTTAACGAGTTGTTTTTTTCGTATAACTGTCGTTAAAACTTAACCAACTAACGTACTAATTTAGTATGTTTGTTAATTTTGTTTTGATTAAGGTTTCTCAAGAGTACAATGTGGATGGACTAGGGAGCATCGATAAGATGGTTCTAGACTATCTCCAGTTACCTTCCTCTCTGTAAGTCATCCGTAACTGATTCTCCGTTGTTTGCCGAGTTTCGCGTTTTGTGTTATAATGGTGAAAAGCAAATACGAAACAATGTCCGAATTATGCGCTTTCTGTACATATATGTGGTACTGTATCTTTTATTTTAGCTCCATGATACATAATAAGATCGGCCAAAAACTTGATGAAATTGAGTATAAAAAAGGGTAAATTGCGGCCACCGTCTCGAAGTAAGGTCAAATTACGAAAAAACCCCTTTTGTTTGGGTAATTACAACCACCCTCAACTATGAATCTTCTTATTCGTCCACCGTTATATATGGTGTCAAATTCAACAGAATCTTCTAAATTTCGTGAAATATTCTTTAGTTTTGTACTCATTTTGCGCAAACATGCAGTTTCTGATGCAACACAATCTTATATTTACAAATTAGAGATACATTTTACGATCATCTTGTTTTAAAATGTGGATCTTAAATAGGATAAAACGGATACTAACTAGAGAATATTCCATATAATCTAGAATATTCAACTGAACTGCTATTTTTTTGTTTTTTGCTTTGTTTGTTTTTTTAATACAAGTAAGCTCTAATTGAACTGATTATTCTACTTTCAGTACCGACGAAAGGGGTGTGCACCGCAATGAAATTGCACAAAAGCTTAAATTATCCCAGGAAAAGATAATGTATCCTCTCTCTCTCTCTCTCTCTCTCTCTCTCTCTCTCTCTATATATATATATATATTACAGACACACACTTGTAATAATTTTTAAAAAAATATTTTTTTTAAATCCGTGACAGAGAAACTATGGAGGCTCTAGAAACGGAAGGGCTGGTTTATTCAACAATAGATGAATTTCACTACAAGTCCACTGCCTCTTGAACTTTGTGCAACTACTCACATGTTTTTTTTTTTTTTCACTTTGTTAGAAATTTCCTAAGTAATTTTTTTTTTCTTTCTATCTGGCTAAGAATATTATTAATTAATTACTTGTCGGGGATTGAGAAACTTATTGAGGATGTCTGAAGATTCCTTTAATTTTTAGTTTCTTTAATTTATCTTTGCGTGATGGAGTAGAAAAAATTTAGGTCGACCGCCACAAGTGTACCCACTAGAATCGGTGACAAGTGTTATGGCATTTAAGCAAATAGATGGCATGCATTGCCATTTGTAAAGAATACCACGTGCATGTTATTTTGCCTTCAATTTTATATATAACAAGCACCTATTTTTACACCACTAATAAGAGGGCAAAGGGGGGACCTTTTCTCTAAGAATTACTACAACAACAAAAGAAAATATGGTTCAATTATGAAAAACTCCTCCTGTTTAGGTAATTACAATCACCCCTCATTTATAAATTTTCTTACACGTTCATCTTTACAGTTTCAAATTTAGTGGAATCTTCTTGATTATATGAATTATTATCACTTTTGTACTCAGTTTACCTCATCCGAGCTCCACATTTTGAAGCAAGACAATCATAAGATGTATTTTTTGGCTTGTATATATCTGATTGTGGTGCATCAGAAACTGTATTTTGTAAACAAAACGAGTACAATCTAGAGCACATTTCGTACGGAATCTAGATGATTATGTTGAATTTGACAACATAAGGATGAATATGAAAAAAGATTCATAGTTGAGTGACATACATAATTATTAAAGCAATAGGGATTTTGTCGTAATTTAACCGTACCTCAGAAGGTGGTTGTAATTTATCCTAAATTCATGGTATAACATTTTTCATTACAATATACAAAATGGTGTATCCATAAAATATCATTCACCAACGTGTGGAATCATTCAGTCCCACTCAACAATAGCTTTGACCGGAGACATAACAAACAATAGGTCTTGAATTATGACTATAATTATTATTATTCTCCAATTAATTACTTTATCTTTTCTCTTACTGCATGCAAATTAATATAGTATTTTTTTCTCATCAGTTTTTCTTTAAATTCTTCTTTTATTTATTTATTTATTTATGATTATTTTTTTCTGATAAGTTCAGTCATATAATAAAGTAAGGAAAACAGGGAATAATAATTTATTTAATTATTAAACCAAGAAACCGCGGCGCCGAATTACCTACCAATACTTCTTTAGACTGTACTGACTAATTATTTACATATTATTACTTTGTTTAAAAATATATAAATAATTAATTAATTAATTCGTAAACGCTCTACGAAGTTACAGTAGAACTTCTTCACTTAAATAATAATTTATTTCGGTCGCAATTCGGTGAAAATATATTAAATTATTAGTTCAATAAACTAATATTTCACAAAATTAATAGAAATTTCGCTAGTTGCGACTGTATTAATTATCAAAGGTTTAACTGTATTCTGGGAAAGTAATTTAGAAAAAATAAACTGGTTTGTGTCATGCATGTGCACACCAATTAATTATGGCACACGTATATATATGTTTCATAAATATTTAGAATAAATACAGTTGGGCACCTTGAATTGATGTGGCAGAATGGAAAATAAAATGAAAATGTACATTTTACCTTAATTATTAGCCTCTCAAATCAGACAATAAACCCTTATTATATGACACAAATCAGTAATATAATATCAATAACCATTAAAAATAAATTATAAATATACCTCAACCCAAAGCAAAGCCATATCAAACTCATTTAAAAAGTTAATTGAAATACGAGAACCACGTCGAATATCCACAGATATCCATTTATGCGCGCGATTAAACTGTTTTAATAAGAAATAATTGCTTTTGAATAAATTACACAAAAGTAATTAAATAAGAGTATTTCATAAAATTGATGTTGCAGAAGCAAAATCTTAGCCACCATGCAAGTACACCTACACCTGAATTGTACTTGCTAATTTATTTTTAAAATTTTATATTATTTGAAAAAGGAATTTATTGGGAATTAACACACTGCCTCCCTCCATGCACCTTTTCTTTTAGGCACGCTGGTACTACAAATTTGTTACACAATTTCTGATTTAATTTGTTGGTCGTGTCATTTTGAATTATAAAGTATAGTACAACTCAATATTGATTTAGAATTAAAATGGAAAAAAGATTGTGTGACTAAATGGAGCAAATTGGCGGGAGATGGATTAAAATAATAAATAAAGTGATGGAATGACACGTAGGCCATGTCCCCTCACCCCCTTCTTGTTTCCCCACTAACAAACAAAACTTTCTCTAAAACCCCTCATCATCTTTTTTTTTTCTTTTTCATGTCATTATTATTAATAATAATAATAATAATAATAATAATAATAATAATAATAATAATAATTAGTGGAAGTTGGGACGGTCGAAAGTTCTGAATCTCGCCGATTTTCGATACAAATATCAACTTCCGAACAAATGCTTTACATTCCAATTCTTGAAATTTCGATTTCTCATTGTTTTTGAACTCTCTTGAAACAAAATTATATACAGAGATAACAAATATTACCGGTGGAAATTGCGACAATCGTCGAATCTCACTGAATTTCTATACAAAATTCGATGACTTCCGAATAAACGTTCTCCATTTCAATTTTTAAAATTTTGATTTCATTTTTTAACTCTTTCGAAACAAAAAACGAAATTAATTTATTTTTTTAAACTCCGATTCGATCGGTTCAATTTACACACGCGCTTTGTTGGGTGAAGAGACAGACCTCCATAATTGGCCTCCACTTGCTTCCCCTCTGCAACCTTGCTTTTATTATTTAATTACATGTTTCCAAACATTTAGTCTTATCTTTATTTTTTAAAATTTATTGACTCAAAACCAGTATCATAGGAAAAAGTTTTTTTAATTACATTCATTTAAATATTTCCACAATTAATTAATTAATTAATTAATTAAGTGCCTTTTTGCTACACTTGATCCTATTATTATACTCCCTTTGTCCAATATTATATGTCTTTTTAGAGAGTTTTTTTTGTCCCAAATTATTTGTCATTTTAGATTTCAATGCATCATTAATTGCACTATTTTCAATTTTACTCTTTCTAACTCCTAATTAGTTAGTTGTAAAACAGTTAATGTCAATGATATATTAGTATTTTGCTATGTTTTTTACTATAATCTATACACATTTATTGATTTTCTTAATATGTGTGAAACAACCCAAAACGTCATTTAAATTGGGACGGAGGGAGTATCATCAATTGTAATTAATTATTTAAAGATCCTTTTCTTTTTCACATATATATTATATATTTTTTTTGAATTAGGATGAAAATTATATTAGGTAAAATAAAATAAGGGTAAATTACGGCCAAACCCCTGAGTTATGGTCAAATTACGAAACCCTCCCATAGTTTGGGTAATTATAGTCATCCCCTCAACTATGCATTATCTTATGAAAATACTTCTTTAGAGTCAAATTTAGGGATGTTAAATTCGTAAATACCAAACTAAAATTTGTGTACGCCAACATTTCATATCGTTTACCGAACTGAATATACGATTTGGTTTGATAAAGAATCGAATTACGTAAATTTTACGTAAAAATATTTAAAAGAAGAGAGTATCTGTAATTATCTAAACAAGAGGGTGACCGTAATTTAGCTATAAAAAAAATAGAAAAAGGATTGAATTAATTAATTAAATAGGTTAAAAAGAAGAATGAATATAAATAATAATAATAATAATTGAGTCAAAATTAAAAGGGAGAATGTGACAAGAGAGGAGAGCCTCGTTGGTCGTGCATATTTCGTTTTCACCTCTATATCTGTGTTCCTCTCTTCTTCTTCTTCCTTTCATTTTTTTTTACGTACTCTTTCATTTTACCTCCTCTCTCTCCTCTTTCTCTCTCCTCTCTCTCTCACACACACACACAGAGAAAACTGGGAGTTCGATCAGCGCTGTTTCCCAAAGAAAGAAAGAAAGAAACCCTAGTTTTTCACGTCGTCTGTATTAAAAATGGATCATAATATGGATTCTTCTTCTTCTAATCCCAACTGGCTCGTCTTCTCTCTCTCTAACAACTCTCTCTTCCAACCCTCTTTCAATAACTCTGACAGTAAGTTTTTTTAATTTATTTATTTTTATATAGTTTATATGAAATTGAAATTAATCCCACCTCAAAACTAGCGTCGGTTATTATTTGATTAAAATAAAATTAAGTAATTATTACTATTTGTCAGAAACTATATATGCACTATTATATCATGGGATTTGGGCTTGTGTTTTTATAGGTGGCGGGGTTGCGGATCAAGAAAATGGTAGTGGCGGCGGCGGCGGCGGCGGTGCAAGTCAAGCCGCGGCGTCGGAGATCGATCAGCACCATCTCACGGTCCTCGGCGGCGGAGGAGGGCCGAAGCTGGAGGATTTCTTGGGTGGCTCCGGCGGGGGCCCTATGGGCGGGGATGGGGTGGTTACTCAGTTCGACAGTACTATGTACGATGATTCGGAGCTCAAGACAATAGCTGCTGGCTTCTTAACCGGATTCTCCACCCCACAAAACGATGACACACAGATGCAGCTGCAGGTTGTTGCGCCGCCGCCTCCACGGCCGACGCCCACGGCGAAGAAGGCGTCGGAGAATTTCGGCCAACGCACCTCCATCTTTAGAGGAGTCACTAGGTACAAACTTCATCTCAAAATTCGGACAAGAAATTAAGAAGCAACCTAGGGTTTTTGTATATATATATATACATAAGTAAGTCTGATTTTGTTTAAATGACCATTTTAGACATAGGTGGACGGGAAGATATGAAGCTCATTTGTGGGACAACAGTTGCAGAAGAGAAGGGCAAAGTCGGAAAGGAAGGCAAGGTTTGTAAATTCATGTACACTCTACACTAACACTAATTAATTATTATTACCACATTAGGGTTTCTTCATATATACATACATTATACATACATATCATCATCTTCTTCATTGATTATTATCTGCAAAGAAAGATGTACAGTTGTAATTCTGATCTTGTTTCCCTTTCCGGAATATATACGAACGTGACAACTCTTTATTCAATGGACAAATTCGATTTAAACTCCAGTTTATTTGGGTAAGTGTTTGAATCATTCAATTTTTTTAATAATAATTATTTTAAGACAGTGTACTAAATTTGACGTGATCTATTTTTTTTTAATAATCATTTAATTTGTTTAAAAAAAAAGGTGGATACGATAAAGAAGAGAAAGCAGCTAGAGCTTATGATCTTGCAGCCCTCAAGTACTGGGGCCCCACCACTACCACCAATTTTCCGGTGAACTCATTTTCACATGCACCTACTATATACACATATATATATACATATACGTACATATACATATATGTAATTTTCTTGAATTTTAACGTGTACGTATATATATATATATACATACAGGTATCAAACTATGAAATGGAAATTGAGGAAATGCAGCACATGACTAGGCAGGAATTTGTTGCTTCCCTTAGAAGGTTTTAATTTCTTTCACTTTAATTAATATATTTATATCTTCATTTATTCAATAATAATAATAATAATAATAATAATAATATATTTTGAATTATGTGACATTTTTCTTTTTAATTAATTGCAGAAAAAGTAGTGGGTTTTCTAGGGGAGCTTCGATTTACAGAGGAGTGACAAGGTCTGTAAAAAAAATCTGGACTATTTTGCCCTTTTTTATGCAAAAATAAAATAAAATAAAATAATTGTTAAGTTGTTTTAATTAATTTCGTCACCGGAAAATTAATATTTTTTGCAGGCACCACCAGCACGGGAGGTGGCAAGCAAGGATCGGAAGAGTTGCCGGGAACAAAGATCTTTATCTCGGCACCTTCAGTAAGTTTTTTATTTATTTATTTTTCTTTAATTAATTTAAATTAAATATTAATAATTTATTCCAAGATAATTACTAAGTATACCACAAATAATAAATAACTGGTCCTATATATATATATATATATATCTACATGTGTGTTATTGGTTTGGAGTGGCGGTGGTTGTTGCCTTAAAAAAATGAATTAACAAAGGCTGACAAGAAGACAATTAATGTAATACGTGGCGACTCGTATTTGGTTTCTTAAAACGGTGGCGACATAAATAATGTGAATTCATCAGAAGATAAAATCAATGAATGAATGAAACGAATCTTTTCAGCGTCTACATACGTTGTCTTTTTAAATTATTACATTTTAAATAAAACAATAAAATATTCATATTTTATTATACTGTTTTCAATTTTATGCGTGGCAACGTATGTATGTTTATTAACCGTTGATCTTGTTTATTAACCGTTGATCTGCACGTAATCACATTCGCCCATGTTGTGTTATGTGTGTTTAGTAAGTTTTTATTTAACCACAGCAATAGTTAAAAATTACACAGTGCAGCATTTCAATAGTTTAATTATTACAATTTGCACAATCTAGGTGGTGTTTTCAAACGTTTTTCCGAAGTGATTAAGAGTTTTTTAATGTTTAAAAAACACTGATTTGAACAAAAAGAAAAGCTTATAATCACTTTTGAAAAGCGTTTGCAAACACCACATTAGTCTAGTTAAAAAAATCCACAATATCTGCAGAAAATTCTCAATAATGCAATTTTTTCAGCATTCTAACTCCTAAAAGTTGTTCGGGTGCAAAGAATGCAACATAGGGAGGTTTTGCTGATATTAATAACGCGACGAGTTTTTATTTATTCGTGTACCGAATAAACTCTATTATTTTATATAAATAAATGAAATATTTATATTTTGTGTTCTTTCGAAATAGGCACTCAGGAAGAAGCAGCAGAGGCTTACGACATTGCGGCAATTAAATTCCGTGGTCTAAATGCAGTCACGAATTTCGACATGTGCCGATACGATGTTAGGAGCATTGCTAGCAGCAATTTGCCAATCGGTGGTGGGACCAACAAACCGAAAACCTCTCCAGAATTGTTACCGGAAAATACGAGCAACCTCGCCATAACTTCGTCGGAGGATAATCTCCGTCGGGAGGACATGCTGTCAGCCACGTCAGCCCCACTACAACTAAACGCTGCGGCCAGTATAAATTTCGGCCTGCCAATAAAGCAGGACCAGTCATCAAGTTTGTGGGCTGCTTTAGGCTACCACCAAACCACTAACGCCAAAAACACTAGTGCCACTACTCTTTTCCAAGAACCACACCACCATGGTACAACACTTACACTACAAGGTACAACACCCTACAGCATGGAGTTCAATTGCAACAACAACGAGGGTTTCTTCGACGGCACCGGTAGTTATAACTATCAGCATTCGATCAGCAACGGTACAACGACTCACGATCAAGATTCGAGCAACGGCACAATACACGACCAAGATTCGAGCAACGGCACAACGACAAACGAAGCGGAGGAGTTCGGGAATAACGGGAATTGGAATGTGCTAACGCCAGCACCGGTTCATTCGTTCCAGGCTGCGAAGGGCAATCTGTCGTATTTTCAGACACCGATTTTTGGGATAGAATGAAAGCTGGAAAAAGTGGATAGTAGACAACAAAAAAAAAGGGTGTAATAGAATTAGCTTATAGTAGAGCAAGTGGATTGGTCAAAAAGAGGATTTTGCTTTTTTGCATGGGATTTATTTATTATGAGAATTTACAAAAATAGGATTTTGACAATCATTTCAATAGGTCAGCAACTATTATGTGTACTATAACTAAATCTTTTTGTTTATGAGGCTCTTATGTATACAGTTTGTTCTTTCTTTTATTCATTACTTTTAGTTTTTGACCTTTATCGAAATGGTTTATAAAAATTAATAAGAAATAGTGACATGAATAATCATAAACAACAAGGTAGTTGTTGGGCATCCATTCAAACGGAAATCGCAAAGGGAGACTAAAAACGAAGCACGCAAGCTTACGCACTCATCAAAGACCTAAATCTCACACAGAACAATTTAGGGCAATATATACAAGTGTATCGGGTTTTCTTTCGGTCTTAGTTTCCAATAGTCCACCTTCTGCTTTAAATAGGTGCTTAAGTCAAAAGTCATCGGAGAAGAAATTATCCATGAGTCAAAGCATGCCAGTACGACGGAATTTGACCCATGGTTGACGGAACAAAGAAACAAAAGAAGACACACGGAGTGGTTGGGAAGAGCATAAGGATTTCAGGAGAACGCAAACGGAAGAAAATTGAGAGAGGGAGAGAGAGGAGAAAGATATTTAAGTGAGATCTCTAAGATCATGATGTTAAAGCTCGATCCAACGAATGAGATCAGTTTTCCAGATCATTCCACAATTCAACTCTTCATTTGCGTCAAAACGCAACAACGGTTTGTAATAAGCATTGTTTAAGGGTGCATTTGGATGGAGGGATTTGGGGGAGGGATTTCAAATCCATAATAACAAATCCCTCGGACTTGTTTGGATTGAGGGATTTGGAGATGGATTTCAAATCCCCACCCCTCCTTTTTAGTTGATTTTGGAGCAATAGTGATGGATTTCAAATGACTCCAAAATTGGAGTCATTTCAAATCCACTCCCCAAATCAAATCCCTCCCCAAATCCCTCCATCCAAATGCACCCTAAGGGTCTTTGAGACGCTATATACATCTGGTGAAATAGATCGGGTAATTATTAACTGTTGATGTGGTGAAATAACTTCTCACTAAGCACACATACACATGGGTGTGTGTGATTGTGTGCAGATTAACGGTTAATAATCACCTGGTGTATTTCATTAAGGGCTTAATTGAGACTGAAATTTCATTAAGGGCTTCATTAAGACTGAAATTGGGCCTTTTACTTGTGCTAGAATATTTCAAACCTTTAGCACTTAAAAATTGGGTCTATTTCAAAAGTAGCTCATCTCTTTTGGGCTGCCAGGCCTCATATAATTGAATTCTTTTCAAGGTCAAATAATATTAGCAATAGCTCGTGAAAATAGTTACGTAAGTATATCAAACTCGAGCTCGAATCGAACTTTGTTGCTTATCGACCGAAAATTTGGATCAAGCTTACTCGAACGAGCATTTTACGATCGATTATGAATCAGATATCGAGTAATTTAGTTTGATTTACAGCCCGAATTTGAATGTGCCACGAAAAAAAAAAACAGGGACGGTTTGCAAGTCATCCATGGTCCAATTGAATTGTGGATTTCAAATTTAATTAAGTTTTAAATCGATTGTCCCGACCTAATATATGATTTTATAAAATGTTTCTTTAATTAAATTGAATATGATAAGTGTGAATAAAATGTTAGAAGAGATAAGAGTTTCATCCTGACGAAAATGATTACGTTGATAACTTACATCTGGTAATAAAATGCACCATATATGTTTACACCATTGATATATATACATAATAACACACACGCCCATATATATATATATATATATATATATATATATATATATATATATATGTATTTCGTGAATAATTATTTATGTAGATCTACGGTTTAAAATCACATAGTATATTTTATCAGATGTACGATCTCATAAGCCGAACTTATCTCAACATCATATTTAAACAATATACAAAAATAGCTACTAGAGTCCGAACTTATCTTTTTTCTTAAAAAAAAACAAAATCAATTTATTTTTTAATAGAGTTCGATATCACGTCGAATGACCATTTTTCATATATATATATTTTTTTAAAATGAAGTGGTCATTCACATTAACTTCCAAACGAGTAGAAGGGTAATTTTGTAAATTTATTATTTATTTGTTACTTGCACAAATTGCAAGTACTTTAATTTTTTTTTATGGATCACAAGTGACCAACTCCCAAATGTTGACATAAACTCACAACAAAATTGCTGCCTATCACTGACCACGTTTTATCGTCTTATTATTCCAATTTATTTATTTGATGTTAGGCAAACGTACCTTTCTCCATTATCCAAATTTAATAATTTATCAACATTTTTTTTTTGTTAATTGGTAGTATTTGATTCCCTTAAGTTTCTTGGTTGTCTTTAATCCATAGATGCTAAACGTGACGGTACAAGAAAAAACGGAATTAGTGATACCATAATCACGATATTATTAAAAACTGTCACTGAGTAACTAAAATGCATAGATTAAGTGACAATATTTTTATGTTCCAGTTGCCACCAATAACTCATTTTACCGTCACTCAATTCATTTTTATTGTTACTAATACAAATAACAAATTCTTTTTATTCGTCACTCATAAGATTATTTCTTGTAATACGTTGCAAGTTAAATTATTTGTTAAATCATTTTTGTGCACTTATTAAAAAAAAAAAAAAAAAACACTAGATTCTAATAAGATTGTTTCAAACTAAATTTATTGTGTACTTTCAAACATTGATAAACTAGTACATGCTAAAAAGAAAGGGGATCTAGGGTTGCATTATGGTTGGGAATCCCATATTTATTAAACATTTCGTTAATTAATAAATAAATATTATTCTATCACTTAAGTATTATTTTCCGTTTATTATTTCAAGGGTTCCTCGAGAAAATTTCAAATTCACGTGTCAGTATTTTATTCACTTTTTTTTTTTTTTTTTTTTTTTGTGTGTCGTTCGAAGAGGAGAGAAGTAATGAGATATATCATTCTACTTATAATTGATTAACAATTAGTTAAATAATTCCCCACTACAAGAGAACAATTAGTTACATAATTATCTCCGGAGAAAAAAATATAGTTTTTACCCCTCAAATTTATACTGGTTTGATATTTGATCCTCCATGTTTATAAAAAACATATTTAGTCTTTCATGTTTCAAAAATTCAATATTTTTAGTCATTTTTATCAATTTTTCATTAGTATCAACAGATATGCACATAACTGCCTTAACCGACAAACTAACGCTAAATTGACGGAAATGAATAAAATAAATGTTAAATTATTGAAACATGAGGGACCAAATGTATTTTTGTTGATCGTAGGGGACCTGATGTGCAATCGATACAAAATTGAGGATAAATTTGTAAATTCTAATTATCTATCAACTCATAGATTCTTTAAAAAAAAATGTGGTCCCCACTTGGACCACGTCTAATTTGACATTGGCAGTTGCTCGTGATCACTGATCACTGTGCACTATATGCACACAAATTGTGTGCACCCTCCAATTAGGTACGCGCAAATTGTGGCTCGACCCTACAAGCCGTAATAAATATCGGGTGGATTTTTTGCCGTCACGTGTTTTTTTTTTTAATTCTTCTTAGTAGGAAATATATTATAATTTACAAAAAATGATACGTGGCAGCAGAAGACCCATCCGGTGTTTATCACCAGGTATAACATCGAAGAAGTCCGCAAATTGTATTTGTTTTTTATTATTATTATTATTATTATTATTATTATTATTATTATTATTATTATTATTATTATTATTATTATTATTATTATTATTTTTTTTTTTTTTTTTTTTTTTTTTTATCAAAACGCAAAATGACACTTGTAAATATGAACTAGACATCGTCAATTCTTCAATGGAGACCTCTTTGAGGAAGTTTACGTGTCTCTTTCCTCGGGTTATCAACCAAGTGTGGCACAAAACGCTACCCAACGACTAGTCTGGAAGTTGATCAATTCATTATATGGCTTAAAACAGACCTCTAGACAACGGACTGCCAAACTCGCATAAGTTATCCTCAAGTTAGGGTTTTCTCGGTCGAAGTCTGATTACACCTTATTTACAAAAGGTTTTAATACTAATTTTGTTGCTAGATGACATCATAATTGTTGGTCCAAGCTCAGCAAAAATTACGAACTTCATTCATACTACTTAGTAAATCTTTCAAGCTTAGAGATCTTGGTGCTCTTAAGTACTTTATTGGCATCTGACCGTGATTGTTTAGAGTGTAAGACTTCATACTTACCAATGAACCCTGATTTCAAACTTGCAGTTGACAGTGTCACACCTATTGAAGATTTTTCTTCCTATAGAAAACTCATTGGGCAACTACTCTTGTTAACCACTATTCGACCACACATTACTTATTTTGTTCGCAAACTTAGTAAGTTTGTTTTTAAGCCTACCTCGTAGCACATTTTAATGTATATGAAAGCTTCTCAAGGCCAAGGTCTTTTCTTTCCCACAGATTTTCCTGGCACTCTCAACGCATTTGTTGATGAAGATCGGAGCTCATGCCTAGACACCATAAGATATACTACTATTTATGTGTACTTAATTTCTAGTTGATTCTTTGATCTCATGGAAAACAAAGAAACATGCTACTATCTGCTGGGGCTGAATATAGGGCACTTGCTTCATTGGCTGGTGAACTCATATGGCTCCAACAAATTCTCATTGACCTCAGACATGGTAATACTACCTCCACAATTATCCATTGTGACAACCAGACTGCAATACATATTGCCACAACTCGGATTGTCTCAGGTTCATTTAGAAAATCAGGAGGGTATTATTTGTAAAACCGTCATTATAGTGAAGCATAGACTACAAATAGTAGAGTTAGTTAGGAATATGTTGTAGTATATATGCTAGCTTCACGTGTACTGCCGATCAACTTTTTTCATAATTTTCAAATTGAATAAAATTTGCATTTCTTCAACATGATATCTCTCTCTCTCTCTCTCGTTCAATCTAGATCTACTAGGCTAAAGCATAATTAGTTAATCCAAAAAAGAAAAAAAGAATTTACCACTTATTTCCGAATCAACCCTTGTAACACATGTGTAAAACCATGTAATCGACTTTAATCTACGACCCAAAAATTAATAACGGATATATTTGGCTAGGGTGCAAATTCAGACTGGATGGCCTGTTTTAATAGGAAAATCGGATGCCATAGGATGATTGCCACGTGAATAGTTTAAATAAAAATATAATTAAGATTCTAATAATTGGAAAAAGAAAAAAAGAAAAAGAAAAAAAAGAAAACCCCAGCATAACCCATAACCCTAATTATAATCAGCCTAATTTATTAAGAGTTAAAGACTTAAAAGTGCTACATATTAAAAAATTAGTGGAATCCGATTTATACTAAATACCGGCTGATCCGCTCAGAATTTAATCTCATTTGGCTATTAAGTGATAAGTTATATCTCAAAATTTCAGTATCACCAATTATCGAAATCACAAATCCAAAAAAGATTGTAGTATTTAATTTGATTTTTTCACATAATTAAATGATTTATTAATCATAGGAAATAAATTAAATAAAGAAAATTGAGGAAGAAGAAAGAAAAAGAATGTATATAATTATAATAAGTGCATGGTAGTACAAGAAGTAGTTGCAACAGTGGATAGATAACCGAGGGCACGGGAAAAGGTTAAAAAGCGCTTCTACATTCAGCCGCTTTTTTTTCCTCTGTTTCTAGCCTCATTTATATTTTTAGGCCAAATTCAACTTTCCCCCTCGTACTTTGTCTCTATATCACTTTACACCCTTCTATTCTCAATTACGTCTATTTGCTCCCTATACTTGAGAAATTATCTTAGTGTAGCCCTCGCTGTTATTCATCAAACATTTAACCTTAATATCGTTTGGTCTAAACTCTGAAATTACAATAACGCCACCCCTCCCAATTTAAATAATTATTAGAAAAACAAAAAAATAACATAAAAAAATTCAAGACAACGAGAAAGCATAATGCACAACGACAACAACAGTTTATTTTTATTTTTTTTTAATTATTTTTTATAATTATTTAAACTGGGAGGAGTGATTTTGCAATTTTCAGACATTAGAGCCTAAAGCTGTTAATGTCAAAGATCTGAAAACTAAATATTGAAACAATTTTTCAAGTACATGGGACAAATTGATGCAATCGAGTGTACAAGGGTCTAAAATTATATATAGCCAAAGTATAAGAGGGAAAGTGTAATTTAACCATATCTTTATTATTCGCCTTTTCTTCCTCACTTTTCTCCTATCTCTCTCTCTCTCTTCAACTGCCCATCTCTCTCTCTCTCTTTCTCTCTCATCCCACCTCTCTACACACAGTCACAAAACGCACAAAGATATATTTATATATATATATATATATATATATATATAGATATATATATACATACATCAAATTGTGCTTCGGGTTATGAAAACCCCACGTTAAGGACCCATCTTTCATGGATTCCTCCTCCCTCTCGGTACTCTCTCTCTCTCTCTCTCTCTCTCTCTCTCTCTCTCTCTCTCATATACACATATAGATATATATGTATCTGGGTATATGTATACAACACTCTCAAAGCACGCAGTCACATGATTTATTTCTCTATGTATTAATATGGGTAGTTGAAATCATTTTCTGTCTCTCAGGCTAAAGGGAAATAAATGGGCTTTTGGTGCTAATGTGCGCTGCTTCGTCTTCTGTTATTGAAAACAAAAACACTGTGGGCCATCCATGGATTCTTCTTCCTTGGAGGGTACAATTCTATCCCTTTACTATATTCCTTCTTTCTTTATTTTCCGGGGGTATCCCCGGTATAATTTCCCATCTCCGTCGTCTTCAAATCATCATGTT